GACAGATTTAACAGAGAATAAATGTATATTTATGGATCTGGGCTTCGGACGATCAGAGGACTTTCATGAGCGATGGATCGTGTTCATTCATATCATCTTTCTTTATAATTTAGAGACTTCGACCAGCTCTTATCACAGCTGCTGCTGAAATACCTATACCTATATATTCCTAAGCAAAAGAGACTCTTCCACCCAGCCTCAGTCTCCCCTTCAGGCCTTTAACACAGCTGCAGTACCAGGCTGTGGCCACCAGATGCCACTGTTCAGACTGTAACGCTGCGAAACGACAAACTTCTTCTGGCACCAACACTTCAGTTCTTCAGAAAACTGTGTTTCCTGATTCGTTGCACAAAAACTCTGTGTTCTGGGCGTCAGAAAATGATTCACCTTTCATAACCACCCGTGTGTGTGTGTGTGTGTGTGTGTGTTTCCATCTCTTTATAAAGCTGGCCTGTAACTGGTCATGGTGATCCTCTGTAAAAGCTGTTAAGGCTTTGTTGATCTTTGTGATTACATGTCATCTTGGCTCCGGCAGGTCCGAAGATTCGTGGGAGGTTCTGAGAAACATTAATGCGAGGGAAAGTGTTTGGCTGGTGTGGACGGAGCTTTTAGCACATTCCTCTGCAGCAGAACGTAGACGTGGTCTGGGTTCAGTCCTGGTTTGTCCCCGCTTCGCTCTCCTCCTGCAGAAAACTGGGCAAACTTAAAGCCAGTCAATCAAACGGGCTGAATCTGAGTCAGCAGGTTGTGGATTGTGCCATGCTGCCGATAGCTGAGCTGGCTGTTACTCCTCTCTCTTTCTCCACTCTGAAGAAAGGTACTTCTGTTTTTAAAACATGCTCTGCTTTTTTTCTCTGTAAGGAAACCTCTCAGGAAAATCCTGACCTCCACTTGGAGTGTTACATAGATTATTCAAACGCCAGCTTGCCACAGTGGTAATAATTACGAGTTGTTTTAGACCTACTACTAAAATATGATGAGCTTACTGATGATTTTATGTGACAAGTCCAACCACATTATTTGGTTGACCCCCAATTTCATATAATAACTATAACATATAACCCTCGTCGTGACAGTGGAGAAACAGAACCAAGTCTAAGAGCCCAGTTAAACCAGTATTTATGGCGGAAAAATCTGGACTGAAATCAATTAATTGAAATGGACCTGCCATAATTAGTGGATCGTATAAACAACACTACGAACTGGTTTAAGGATAGTTTTTAGAAAGAGTCTGTGCATCAGTTGCGTCCCTTTCTTGACCTGTGTCAACCTGTTGTCTAGCTAAAGGCTAAGCTAGCAAGCCAGGCTGCCTGACAGGTTATTAAGCCTGGCGGGCGCGAGCATGTTCGCAGATACAGTTCGGGTAAAAAAGGTCTGATACTGGAAGGTTTTCTGAGACTTTGGGAGTCTCTCACTCTTTACACAACGACTTCCGTCTTCTTCTGAGGTTCAAACAACCGGAACATGATGGAGTACTTCCAGGAGAGACCGTCTGAATCCGCTCCGTTCACCACATTGACACGATTACCACGGTGGTACAAAGGTTACAGAGGTCAAGAGTCAATCCACCACCACAGCCTCTTTGCAGCAGGTTGAATAATAACTTTTCCCTTCTTCACGACAGTCCTCTCCACCTACCACATCCATCATCCTCATCTCTACCTGCCAGCTGCTTCCTGAAGCTCTGACACTGACTGCCTTTATGCCCTGTGGATTTTGTGGCTTAAGGTCTTCGCCGCCCGGTGCCCACAGAGAGTTCTTGGAAGGCCGCGGATCCACAAAGCCCCCGGGCCGCCTCAAGCCTTCGGCCCACGCCGCAGAACAGTAAATCTGGCAGAGGCTGAGACCAGACTGTGGTCAGCACCAAGCCTCAGAGCTGGAGTCAGGAAGTCAACACAGAGCTACACAGACGTGATCACAGACAGGAGGTTACACTCTGATGCTCCGGAAACAAACATATTTAAGTCGTCTGTTTCAGTTCTCTAACAAATCGATTCAAGTATCTTCTGATTGGTAGAAAGTTCGACTGTTATGCCTTGAGTTCCTGTTACTTACAATAACACTGTACTCACCACAGAAGAAGATATCGACTCCCACCTTTCCATCTAGAGACAACTCCCAGGTGTCCAGGTAGAGATGATATTGACTCCAAGGTGTCCACAGAAAGACAATAACAGACTCCTGGGTTTCTATGTGGAGATGGCGATGAGTTCAGGGTGTCCACGTAGAGATGACGAGTCCCAGGGGTCCACACAGAAACAATAACAACTGGTAACGATAAGGTGTCCCTTTGGAGCTTATAATGACTCCAAAATGTCCAAATACAGACAATAACGTCCACGATATCGACTTCCAGGTGTCTGTGTGTTGATGATTAAGACTCTCAGGTGTCCACATGGTGACGATAACGACTGGTAACGATAAGGCGTCCCCTTGGAGCTTAAATTGACTCCAAAGTGTCCAAATACAGACGATAACGAATCCAGGGTTTTCCATGTGGACATGGAAACGACTTCAGGGTGTTCATGAAGAGACACTACAATCATGGACTTCCAGGTATGGTCCACACAGAGACAATGTGATCGTCCTTGCTTCATCTTTGTGTCTTCCGTCCTCAAACGTCACTTTTGAAACTCCACCGTCTTCCTCAGTGTGAGAGCCGTTAGCAGGCCTGCACTTCATGAAAAGTATCTCATCTGCGACGGGAAGTCTCCAGTATTTCAAACATTTATGTCGGGTAGAAAAAGCGCAGCCAGTTATATTTAATGGTCTCTGAGTTCTCGTCGATATTGCTTTCACAATGAGCTCCACTGGGAAACACTAACTTTAACTTCCAGTGGAGTCGGAGAGCTCGAAACCCTGAGAACGTTTTAAACGTGTTTCTAAACAGTCTTTTAATTCCCACAATAAAAAGCTGCAGCATATACTGAGCGTCTTTGTATGGAATTGATTTCTGAAACTATAACCTGTTTCCTGTCAGAAGTGCTCTGTGAGGAGCTGCGCACAAATAATGGAAAAAGTTGCTGCTAAGCACTAATAGTTGGATCCGGCTCATAAACATGCGGCTGTATATTAGAATTTAATTAACCATCAGAATCACCAGTTTCAGGCCCATTTTTCTGCTGTTTGGTTTGGAGAGAGTTTCACATACTTCAGGGTGAAGTCAGCGCAGACTCTGACTTTTTTTCATGTATCTGTAATGATTTTACATGTTTATGACTGTGACTCATTGAAAAGAATGTTTTCCATCACTGAGTGAGGTCTTTCTCTGCAGCCACCCACTGCTCCGTCTCCTCCGCACACGCCCAGTTAACGCCCGTACAGTACCTCCACCTCTCTCGCACTGGAACAGCAGCCCGCTCCCAGCACGCCGCCTGATGACGAGCCAAACATCATATTATTATAACGAGCTTCCACTTTCTCACTGACAGCTGCAGGTTAAACACACGTCGTCCCACTTGGCCGGAGTCCAAATCTGACTCATCTGTACATCACCTTTAAATCCAGGTCTGTGCAGCTCCATAATAAACTTTATTCTTCAGTCATGTCAGCAGCTCTGAGCTAAATGCTAACCAGGCCTGCAGCTCAGCAGCTTTTATAAAGTCTGTTAATTGTTTAGTCCATAAAACACGAGATCTTTAATTTACTTGCTTCACGTTGAGACAAAGAGAAGCAGCAAACTGTCACATCTGAGGCGGGAAACATCAACACTTTGGCTCAGGTTGAATTACGGAGCCAGAGTGGAGGTTTCCCGCTCAACTTCACGACTTCCAAGATGCAGAGAGAGAGTCTGAAGAAGTCTTAAAAACTCCAGCAGCAGCTGCAGTAAACACAAGAACTTAATTGTTTGCAGCAACAACATTTGACGACTCATGAGACTTTAAATGTTGTGGCTCCTTCACACAGCTCCAGAGTTATTACTCTGCAGAGTCTCTTCATGCTGGTTATTTAACTCTTCCAGAGGTCGAACCTTTTCCCATCGAGCTCCACTTCTACAGAATAAACTTCCTCCACATCTTTCAATAATAAATCCTGTTTATTAACATTAAATGTTTTTACATGTGAAGTCTCATGTTTACACGTCTCATCAGTTAAAGAACTAAAAGTCACTGAAATCAAATTTAAACCTTTTTATGTTGAAATATTAATAAATGAAACATTAAAAATTTAAATGAAATATAGATTGTGCTTTTGTAAAGTTAAACTTCTTAATGAACTGATTGATTATCACCTGTGTGAGGCTGATGATCAGCTGCTCCTCACCTTCATGTCTTAGACAACACTGCCACCGTGTGGACAGATGGTGCAACAGCAGCAGCTTCACAAACATCAGGGTGGAGGCTGACAGCCACGCCAGAGGTCAAAGGTCAGTGAGCTCCATGTTTTTGAGGCTTTCAGCTGAATCTCATCAGATGATTATTGATCTGATGATATAAAAATGTCTACAGGTGGAAAATGATTTCATTACAGACTATTTCCTCCTTTCAGTGCAATTATTTCTAAATAAAGTTTATTAAAATCTGTCATTTCATTATTATAAAGAATAAATGATGTTGGGAGACAAACAGCAGTTAACTTATTCTGTTTAAACTGTTCAAAAAAACCTGGAATGAAAACTTCTTTTCACTTTAAATCAAATATTTCTCAATTCTTCATAATTTAAAGTCAGACAGAAATAAATTTGAAACTTGCACCTTAAAAATATTTAAAGTTGTGTCAACTGTCAGCTTCTGGTTTTTATATATTTTAGTTTAAGCTTCATTATAAGCTTTACATTTACATGTAATGGTTCTTCTGATTTACTTATTCTTTTTATTTAGTTTCCAACATGTTGTCTCTCAAAATCTTTCCCAAACAGAAACAGAGGTCAAAGGTCATTACACTAAAAGAAAACAAGTACAAGACTTATTACAGACTTATCCTCAGATCTGAGTTTAAACCACTTAGTTAACTAGTTAGTCTCATTTAATTAGTCACTTCAGTTATTTATTTCACACGTATTTCACTTCAAACTTTACTTTATTCTCAAACTGCGTCGTTCAGAAACTTGTCTGTTGGTGTGGAGGTGCGTTCAGGAACAGTCTGGATGAATTCGGTGTGAATGTAAAAACCACTCATGTGGACGTTTCTTCTTCTATTATAGAAGTTTTATTATTTCCCGCACAAAGTGAAAAAACTGCTTTAGTAGAAGGTGTTTGGTCTCTTGGTGGTGAAGCGGGGTTTGTGCTGGCGACGCAGGACCCTGTGGGGCAGAGGGAACTTGATCTTGGAGTCCTGCAGGAGGAGGCAGAGGGAACTTCAGCTTTCACACACTCATTTTAAAAACAGTCAGAAAATCCAGTTATTGATTAATTCATCATGTTGCCAGTTTCAAAACCGCCAGGTTTAAAGATGGAGGCTGGAAATCTGGAAGAGGAATCTGGCTTTTTGTCTGGCGGGTTTTTAAACTGGATCTGACAAACGTGGAGGCAGACCAGAGAGAGACCCGCCTCTGTGTGTGTGTGTGTGTGTGTGTGTGTGTGTGTGTGTGTGTGTGTGTGTGTGTGTGTGTGTGTGTGTGACTCACGTGGAACTGCTTGATGGCAGGTCTGCGACACTTGTTGGCAGCGATGACCTGCACCTTCATGATCTGGATGGAGTGGGCGCGAGCACGATGGCGAGCTCCCATATCACGATCTGAAAGAACAAAAGACGGTTTTTACACATCTGGACAAAATGGAGGACGAAGTCTCTCAGCGGTTCACGACATGTTCATGAATGACGAGGTCGTCAACATGTTAGAGCTGAATGTTTTGTTTTGGCGGCCTGTTGGGAGGCGGGGCTAAACTAAAGCTGCAGACACCAGAGCATTGACCACAGGTGACCAGTTCACATCTACCCATCATGTATTTTTTATGAAAACTGTCTGAATCTTCAGGTTTTTAGCTGCTGGTCAAACAGACGTGAAGATGAAACGATTAATTAAACACCCAGAGATTAATCAGTAATTAACTAAATGTTATTATTATTATCATCCAGCTGTTTGTCGGAGTCATGTTTTCTTTCAGCTCAGGAGCATCAGACGTGTTGGTCCTTGAATTCACTTTCAAAGACACTGCGGCGTCAGAGAAAGGCGACAAGGATCCGCTTCCTGTCTGCACACCAGACAAGGTCAAACCACCGCCATGATGAGACCTTTGGGTTTGGGTGCAAGTGAAGTGACGCTGGAAGACAAACATTTCTGTTTTTCTTACACTTTCCTGAAGTCTGTAAATATATTTAATGTGAGTAAAATATGATGTAATGTTCTTGAACTTTGGTTTTAACTTCATTTACCAACAGCTACTTTTCTTTTTATTCATCACTCACTTTATTGTCTGTTTTGCTCTGTATGTGACATTTAGTCTCTTTAAGCAAATATAAAAAGTTGATTTTAATATTTTGAAGTTAAAACTTCATTTTCTTGCATAAATCTAAATCTGTTTAAATTTACTTTGGATTGAAAACTGAAGCACCGGAGAGTTGGAACCTAAAGATAAAAATCTATTGATTTCTACCAGAGTCTGGACTGATCAGCTCCTCTCTCTATCTCTCTCCCTGATGAATCCACTAACAAATGTCTGAATCTGTTTTACCTGCTGCATCATTATAAATCTGCCTCCGCCCACCCTGATACTAATTAATGAATGTGGTATGACAGCGACGTCACAGACAGGAGTCAACACCAAGTTAATGATGCCTTTTTGTATTGATTATGGATCACTTAACTATAGCCGTACACAAGCCTTGTGTTTTTGGAGACTTCAGGATGTTTCTTCTTCTGCTGCTTCAGTTTCACTTTTTCTATTCTTAATCCCCAAAACTTTAGTGTGTGTGTGTGTGTGTGTGTGTGTGTGTGTGTGTGTGTGTGTGTGTGTGTGTGTACTCACAGCACTGAGTGACGGCTCCGGAGGTGGTCAGGTCTCTGTACTCTCTGTACATGTTGTGGGTTCCGCTGCGAGAGTCGTAACGCAGCCAGATACCGAAGTTCTTCACCTTCAGAGGGGTCTTCTCGTGGACCTGGACCACAGGAACAGAGACCGTTAGAGTCCACATTCAAATCCACAAACCACCACGTGTGCATCAGAGACCGTCTGGGTTCAAACTGAACTCGAAAGATTTATGATAATTCACAGGAACATGGATGAAGTCACAATAAACAACAATCCTCATCAACTCCTGTTCATCTCTGAACCAAACAGCATGAAGACAATCAGCTGACACAAAGAGTCAAATCATCAAACTGGTTCATAATTATTCAAGTCACTTTTTAATCTGAATGCTGAACACAAACACGTCCCGGCTTCATAATGGTGATGATCTGCTGCTTTTCTTTGTCCCATGTGATGAAATTTACTTCATTTTTCATCCTTTCTCAACATTTTATAAATAAAATTATGTTTAAAATATAAAAACAATGACAGATTAACCAGAAGTGGAAACACCTGTCCGCTGCAGCCTGAGTTTAAAGCTTGGACAGAATAAGTGAAGGGAAAGTGTTGATGTCTCTGTTGTTCTGTGTAAAGCAGCAGATCCTACACATTGTGCTGCTTCCCAGAGTCAACACCAGTAAGAAGCATTCAGACAACAGGGAACAATAAACTAACAGAGGTCTGAGTCCAGAGGCTCAACATCTGGATTCAGCCACACTACCCGGTCCTGATGCTCATGTAGAAACACAGTCGCCTCGTCACAGACACAAACTGGGACTTTAAAGTCTGAAACCGGGACTGGACTCTGCCCCAGTTTGTCCTCTCGTGTGCGGACACCTACCAGGCCACAGTAGACCGTCTCTCCAGAGGCCTTCTTCATCTTCCTCAGCTGGGAGACGAAGTACCAGAAGCGGGACTTGGCCACAACATGGTTGGGGGCGAAGATCCTCATCCGGTAGAGGGGGGGGGCAGGGTTCTTGGCAGAGGGCAACAGACGCCCAACGACTTTGTACTCCCTAAGCTGTGTGCAGAAAACAACAACAACATCTGTCAGCAACAAACATGCGTCACGTAGAAACCAACATGGTGAGGCGTTCACAGTCTTGAGTGTTGGTCCTTGAATTCACTTTCAAAGACACTGCAGCGTCAGAGAAAGGCGACAAGGATCAGTCTCCTGTCTGCACACCAGACAAAGTCAAACCACTGACATGATGAGACCTTTGGGTTTGGGTGCAAGTGAAGTGACTGGAATATGAACAGGGTTTAATACATCTGTTAGATCCTTACATGTGTCTTCAAATACATTTTCATGGGAGTAAAATTTGATCTAATGTACATGAACTTTTGTTTTTAATAACAGATTTTACAAACTGCATCAGCTGCCGTTTCACGTCTTATTCATCACTCCATTTGCTTTGTGTTTTGCTCTGTATGTGACATTTAGTCACTTTAAGCAAATGTAAAAAGTTTTTATCCTTTAATATTTGAGTTACAACTTAATTCATTTACTTGCATCAATCTGGAGCTGCAACGACCGATCAATGAGTTCAACTATTTTGACAATCGAATCATTATTTTATTCCATTTTCAACTACAAATCATTCAAATGATTCTATCTCCCAGCGAGGACAGTGAACTGCAGCTCTCGAGTTGTTGACTGTCGGTAGAACAAAAAAAAAGATCTTTTTTAAAACCATTTTACAGACTGTACGAGACGATTTAATGATTAAATATTCTGCAGATCAACTGATGAGGACATTAATAGTTAGTTGAAGCCCTGATAGAGACTCTCTGGGTATCTCCTTACATAGTTTCACATGTATAGATTAGTGCATGGATTCTATATCCTCATATTTTACAAATAAAGAGTATTTTAAATAATTTTTGGAATAAAACGTTGAATTATTTTTGCAGTACTGTTGATTTATAATCTTTTAGAAAAGCACAGGTAGTATTTATGATGTGACAAAGCTTTACAATAAAGTGTAAACAGTCCCAGCGTGCATAGAGCACTTAATGCAGAATTAAACTTAACATAACAAGAGTTAATCTGTGACTAAAATATCTGTGGCAGTCTGTTTTTAACAACAGGTAAAAACTGGTAACCCTTTCAATAAACAGTTTCTTCGGCCATGACCCACAAAACCAGAGTAGTTTTAAAGCTTTAAGTGGCTTTTTTAAAACGTTGACATTTAGAAAAACCAGTGGAAGAAAAGCTCATTTTTTAGAAACACGCAATTTTCCTGAGATAAACTACAAACTTCAGCAGCACATTAGCGGCTAACGTTAGCTACGACTCCAACCGTGAGATACGTTTAACGGTCGATTTTAGAATGATTATTAATCTTGTTGCAAACCTTCACGAGAAGCAGCTCGTGTTTGACGGTAGGTGAATATTTTTAATTAGACCTCAGACTCATTGAAACACACACCGTCCCGTCTCCACACAGCCGTCCACATGGTACTGCGGACGCCATGTTGTAGCCGCAGAAGCATCGGGACGAAAACGCTTTAAATTATCACTTTAACGTGGACTTTATAGGAACATTAACGCATATATCGGAAGAACATAACTTTATATTTCTACATCTGCCCATTCTGGTCGTGTTTGGTAAGCTGATATGGTTAAATAAAGGGTTTTACGTACTGTGCCGGACGCCTTCATGGTGTCTCTCGCTCACTGCCACAGTAAAAGAGGAAGCAGAAGGGCGGAGACTGCGCATGTCAAATGGACGGAGGAACCGGGGGAGGGAGGGGTCGCGGGAAGAAGGAGGATCCGGTGCAACGAGCCCTCAAGCGGCCTGAAGATGGTTTCATACTCGACAGGGTGGAAGCGTGTACATGTACATATCATAATAATGTGCTACATGTAAATAGAGTATAATTTATAGTTTGTACAGTGGATGTTTTACAGGAATATTACACAGGAATTTATTTATGGTGAAATATATCGGATTTAACCTTTAACTATCACAGTGATAACGTGTGGAAAGAAAAGTTTTTCTATTATTGCGACAGGGGAATTACTATTCATCATCATCATTCATCAAAATAAAAGCACCAACGCTATTTAAAACCCTGTTCATTTGATTAATATTTGTGAAAACTGGATTAATTTAAACCAATTTTAATCTAGTCTAGGTTTCACAAGTGTGTGTGACTTGTCAGGTGGTCAGCAAGTACTTTAATACCGTACTAAAATGCAGTATTTGACGTAGTTAATATAGAATTAGGATTTTACAAACTATAAATAGCGGGTTTAAACAAAGTAAGGGCTTTTAGTTTGATGTCATTATATAACTAAAATAAAGAAAGTTTCAGTTTACTTTCCTACGAATCAGAAACTAACTTCTTGAAAGTTAGCCAACTGTAAAATACACGAGTCCAGCACAAATAACACGTCAAATATAAGCCTATAAACAAAAACATGTAACATTTATGTGGGATAAAAATGAAATATGTATATTAATATGTATATTATTCATTATTAATATCGGTGGGTTTACGCCGCGGTGTGGAGGAATCTCTTCCTGCTGCCGTGACCCGGATACTAACCGGGCGGACACGCCGCACCGCCGCTTGAGTCGTGTGAGTCGAGCGAGTCGAGCCGACGTGCAAACTGATTTCTGGAGACTTCGCAGCGGCTCCGTGATGAGTTAAAGGGAGCGAGAGAGAGGCGGAAAAAACACTTGATGAATTAAGTTCTCACTACGGTAAGCTTCACAGAAAATGCCATTTGTTCTGTGTTGTGATTTGCTTGTGAAAAAACGGCAGCGGAGTTTGTCTTCGTGAGATTTTCTAAGCGGAGGCGAGCGACACAGCAGCAGGTAACGTTACCGAGCCGCGATAAACAAGCAGAAAAACACCATAAAACTGCTCCCACTTCTCCCACACGGTGGGTGCGGCTATAATTAACCACATCCCGGTGATGGTCGGGGTTTTAATATGTGTTACTGTGTCAGGATTACTCCAACAGGCGAGCTCTGGAGCCAGCTAGCCGGCTAACCAAGGCTAGCTTGAGTTAGCTGCAGTCAGCTATTTTGTATTGGAGTGAAGTTGTTAGCATGTAGCACTGCAGTGTCAACTTTTAGAGGAGTGGCCCGGGGGACGCTGTCTTTATTCAGCCTTCACCCACAAACGAGGACATTTCTGTGGCTTTTTACCCTCTGGCGTGTCCGGTGGAGCCTTATCATCCATGATGATGACATTATAAACGGACATGGAGGCTGTAAAGTGTTGACAGTGTGTTGCATCATGTGGATGATCTGCCCCCTCCATCCTCCACAACAACTAATCAGTGGTGTCAGAGCTGATTCTTCATACCTGAAGCATGTCAGCCCAGTGAGGTCGAGCTGACGCGGTAAGTCGATTACTCAATTAGTCGATCCACAGAAGAGTAATCGGCTGCCATTTTGATAATCGATTAATCTTTTCATTCATTTTTCAATCAAAAATAGTGAAAAAAAAGACAGATATTGGCAGATTTCAGCCTCTCAGGAGTCGACTTACTAGTTTTCTTTGACATGAGTCTTTATTAATGGAGTATTTGGGTTTTCTGGGGTGTTTGGACTTCTGAAGATGTCCCCTTCAGCTCATTGTATTTTTTATTGTCAATTAATCTGCCCCTTATTTTCTTGATTAGTCAAGTAGTTGTTTGGTCTATAAAATGAAAAATGTGAAAAATGACCATCCGGGTGTCTCATAGTCCAACATGAAGTCTTCAAATGTTTTGTTTCATCCAGCCAAGAGTCAAAAACCCTCAAAGATCTTCAATTTATTATAATAAAAGACAAAGAGAACCAGAAGATAATCATATTTTTCCATAAAAGATTGTGATGACCTCTTTATCAGAATAGTTGTTGATTGATTTTCTGAGTAGTTGACTAATTGTTGCAGCTCTACAGAACAGACTGAACAATTAATCGAAAAATAATCAGTGGATTGATTAACTGCACTCAAGTTGAAGCATTTTCATTTTCCGTAACCTTCTCCGTCACAGTTCAGAGGGAAATATTGTCTTTTTACTGAAACTAATTATTTGAAAACTTTCTGACAAGTTGTTTAGAATAAAATGTGTTTTTGAAACCTGGGATTAAAAAAAAAAAAAAAGAAAAAGTTTTTGGCTGTTGACAAAAAAATCAGTGTTGCCGCCTCATGTCATGGTTCATGTGACTGAGCTGTTCCCAGATGCTTTGATTTCTATCATCGTTCAGGGCCTGAAGAGGCAGAAACCTTCACTGTGTCCCAATAAGTCTGAAAACTGAATCCAGATCAGTGAATCTGAAGTGTGTTTCTTCTTCTTTCTTCTCCCATGAATCATCTGACTCACAGGTATCAGGTGTATGTGACATAGTTGAAGCAGCTACAACAGTAAAATGACTCGGGATCAATGATCTGATTGATCATTAATCAGTCACAGGAAACAATTTACTGCAAAACCTACTTTCAATTTTAATGCTTTAGTACTATTGATAATATTTATGTACTTTTACTTCAGTAGGATTTTAAATGCAGGACTTGAACTTGTAATGGAGTATTTTTATTGGTTCCAAGGATCTGAGATAAACCCAGTGGTTAATTTAACAAAACCTCATTTCTGACTCTTTCCTCCAGAATCCTTGTGACTGTTGGGATGAAAAAATATTCTGTTTACTGAACAATAAGAACAAATTTTAACCAGTTTCTCAGGCTGCGACTCCGTCAACTAAAACAAGTACAGAAGGAAAACAGAGTGTCAGCATGAGGAACAGGTTAAATATGTTTGTTTCATGTCAGCTCTAATACAAACCAGTGGAAACAGTTAATTGCATTGAACATCAGTTAAATAATTTGGATCCATACATTTGTCATGTTGTGATATTTATTCACTGAATATTTAAGGTTTCCTAATTGATTAAGATTCTAAGGAAGAAATGAGGTTTAACCCCCCCTTTAAATTCCCCTTAAATATCCTCATTAAATGTTTAAAGATTTGAAACTTATATATGAGACAAAGCAGTTTTTATATCTGCTTGATCTTGTGCATCATATTCTGTTACTTTGTCTGCTATGTAAAGATTGTGTCATCTCAGCTGCTGCTCTGGTGTAACATGGCGGAGTATGTCTGACCTCAGGTCTGTCTCGTCTCGTCCCTGGTTCTCCAGATGAGAGAGACCTGCCCGACAGCAGCAGAGAGGAGTGAACCTGCCCTGGAGGAAAGCTAACCCACGAATGGCCTGCCAGTCTGTCGCTGCAGTCATGGACGAGCAGGCCCTGCTGGGGCTCAACCCGAACGCCGACGCCCGCTACAGGCAGAGGGTAAGACGCCCCCGTCCCCCTTTGTTCGACTGGTCCATGAACGCCACACACTGTGTTTTCTCTGCGGTTTGTTTCCAGCAGCATCATTATTTACCTGTAACGTGGTCTTTTAGTTTTGGTTCCTTAAACATTATAAGAGATAAAGTTAAGGTTTTATTGATGTGACAGGAAACACGTAGATCCAAGTTCATCATCACATTCAGCGTCTAAACACAGAGTGTGTTTCACATTAGTCACGGACCAGTTCCACCCACAGAGCACAGAATGCTACTGTTTGACTTTCACTCTTCTTTCTTCAGGATTTACTTGATGGAAACTTCAGATATTTTAGTCTCGTGTGGAACGGAAAACATCAAGTTTTCTACTGACAAAAATGTTTAGTCTGAACTCTGAGTGATGTCAACAGAAGAAGTGTTTTACAAAGGAAAGGACACGAGTTAGTGGGACTGATGTGTGTGTGTGTGTGTGTGTGTGTGTTCAGGCCATGGCATACTTTGAGCAGCTGAAGGAGTCTCAGGATGCCTGGGAGGTGTGTGCAGAGGCTCTCGCTAAAGGGATTTACAAGTGAGTTTGTTTGAACATCGTTCACATCTGCAGCTGAGTTATGACGCATCCTGCTGTTGGACTTAATAATGTGACCTCACCTTGTCGGCTGGTGTGTGTGTGTGACGTTTGTGTTTGTCTGTTTATTTCAGTGACGACCATGTGAAGTTCTTCTGCTTCCAAGTGCTGGAGCATCAGATAAAGTTCAGGTAGTGAAGATGTTTTAATGTGCTGATGTTAGTTTCTACAGAGGGATGTGAATGCAGCGTCTCACCCTCACTGCTGCTGTTGTGTTGCAGACATGCTGGTCTGAGTGCAGTTCAGCAGCAGCTCATCAGAGAGACTCTGATGAAGTGGCTCCAGTGTCAGGTAAGACTCACCTGTCGGCTCACCTTTATATTCTTCTTCTTACTGCATCACATTCATACGAACATGTGATCATCTTAGGATAAAGTTATTAAGATATTCCTTTAGTAGTCCCACAGCGGAGAAACACAAACGACATCCAATACTTACAGCAGAGAAATGAGATGTTTAAATAAGAATTATAACATTTATAAATTATAAAGAAAATTAGCAGCAGATTGGTGACAATATAAAATACATGTGATGTCTGTCACAGAAAAGCAGCAACTCTTCAAATGTGACAAGATGAAAACAGATTAATATTTATAATATGTGTGTTATATTTAGAATTATATAAGTTGACTATTAAAGTATTATTTTTATATTATCAATGTTCTGTTCCAAATGAATTTTTAAATCATTATTTGAAAGCTGCAGCTACTAAACGTGTGTGATGTAATAAAGCTGGAGAATGAGTGACAGCAGTTCTTCCCTCCCTCCTCGCCGCCTGCAGCTGATGAACGCTCAGCCGGAGAAGCCCTTCATCAGGAACAAGGCGGCGCAGGTGTTGGCGCTCACCTTCATCATGGAGTACCTGACCCTGTGGCCCAAGTTCTTCTTCGACATCCTGTCCCTGGTGGGTCTGAACCCGCACGGCGTCGACGTCTACCTGAGGACGCTGATGGCCATCGACGCCGAGGTGGTGGACAGAGACATCCTCCACACACCTGAGGTGAGACGACGCTCTGAAGAAGCAGAAGTGTCAGTCACTTCCTTTTCTGGTCAATGAAATATTGATGAATTATGGAGGATGAATTCTCAGAGCTCCTGCACGTTGAGGTTCAAATATTAAACCTGAGTGAACAATCACAGAGAGGAGAGAGAAGAGCTGCTGTGAGAGGACGAGATTTAATGTGGTGATTACAGGAACAGGAAGTTCAAAGTAAAACCCACAAAGTAGTGAAACACATAACTGAGATGGTTACGCAACAGAAAACTGCTTTATAAAGAAAAAGTGAAGAGACTGTTACATCAGAGGACAGCGCTCAGGAAGTGGAGAACCCAGTAAATGTTGTCATTTGATCTTTATTGTCAAATCTCATTTTAATGAAACTTTAGATTAAAGTGAAGTCAGTGTTTTACTGTGACAGTCTGATGTTGACGGTGTCGTGCTTCCTCCAGGAGACTCGTAGAAACACTCTGATCAAAGACAGCATGCGGGAGCAGTGCATCCCCAGCCTGGTGGAGTCCTGGTTCCAGATCCTGCAGACCTACCAGCAGTCCCACCCAGAGCTCACCTGCCAGTGTCTGGAGGTGGTGGGGGCCTACGTGTCCTGGATCGACCTCAACCTCATCGCCAACGACCGGTCAGTCGCCACACACACACACACACACACACACACACACACACACACACGAGGAACAGGCTGCGACACAAGATAACACTTTTGTCTTTTATTTTGAAAGAATATAAACACTACAGAAATATCTCATTGGTCGAAACTTTCATTGTGAAAATTACAGCTCAGGTTGTGAAATAGAAACATTTGGTTGTTGCCTTTTACAGACAGTTTGCCTTGTGTGTTGTTATCTTCATGTGTGTGTGTGTGTGTGTGTGTGTGTGTGTGTAGGTTTGTGAACCTGCTGCTCAGCCAGATGTCGGTGGAGGAGCTCAGAGAGGAGGCCTGTGACTGCCTGTTTGAAATCGTGAATAAAGGGATGGACCCCGTGGACAAAACCAAGCTGGTGGAGTCTCTGTGTCAGGTGCTGCAGTCTGCTGGCTTCTTCAACGTGGAGCAGGTGGGACTTCAGTTCGACTCTGTCACTTCTCCACATGAAAACACAGTCAGAACAAAGGTTCGCATGGACCTGAGCTCCGGCTCTTCCCTGAGTCTCTGTCCTCCGAACAGCGTCGCTCAGACTCTGACTGTAAATGTGTGAATTCATTCAGTCACCTGACTCCCATGATCCCATGCTGCTTCATGACGTCAGCCAACGCCGTCTTTTGTTCTTGTTTTGATGAGAGACCCGTTTAAACACCGACATGATAAAGACGCGTTAGAGAAAATGTTTGAGGACACAACCGGGGATTATGGGAAGGTCCGGGTCGTGTTGACACAAACAGAACCAGATCAGATTAGTCAGTATGACGTCACTTTGTCTTTCACTGGCCGCTGGTCGTTTCAGGTTTTGTTGCTCGGTGCAGATGTGAGAGGAAACGGGTCCGGCTTCAGTTCAGAGCCACATGTTTATATTCTCACCCCGAGGCGTTTCCTGCCGCTCTGTTTTCATTTCCCGCTTCCTGTCCCCTCAGGAGGAGGACGTGGACTTCCTGGCCAAGTTCTCCCGGCTGGTGAACGGGATGGGTCAGAGTCTGGTGCTGAGCTGGACCAAGCTCGCCAAAGCCGGCAACGTGAAGGACGCCACCGAGACGCTGCAGGCGGTGGAGGCCAAGGTGCCGCTGCTGCTGCAGCTGCTGGTGCACGAGGACGACGACATCTCGGCCAACATCGTCGGCTTCTGCTACGAGTACCTGCACGTCCTCAAACAGGTTCTCAGAAGTCACAATCAGATAATGATGAATCAGGATGTAATCAGAAATATCTGACGTGTATTTATTCTGTTGCAGCTTCCTCAGCTGACGGACCAGCAGAAGACCAACATCGAGGTGAGTCTGCTTCCACACGACGCAGGTAAACGTCTGTGCTCAGGTCAGACGTGTTAATAACTCTCCGTCTCTTCGCCTCAGGCCGTCATGCTCGCCGTCATGAAGAAACTGACGTACGACGACGAGTACAACTTTGAGAACGAGGTGAGACTGACGCTCCGGCGCCGCCGCTGTCGCTGTGACATCATTAGAGAAACGGGAAACGCCAACAGAGCGTGTGGTTTGTTTTGTCAGGGCGAGGACGAGGCCATGTTCGTGGAGTACAGGAAGCAGCTGAAGATGCTGCTGGATCGTCTGGCGCAGGTTTCTCCTGAGCTGCTGCTGGAGGCCGTTCGCCGAGTCTTCACCAACACCATGCAGTAAGAGCCCGCCTTTATGTTTTCAGAATAAAAGACCTGGAGGAAGGTTCACTAGATCCAAAGACCAGAACCAGAACCAGAACTCCAGTAAGAAGAATTAGAACAGTAGAGTATTTATTTATTTACTTAGATCCCCATCACACTCTGATCTTCCTGACCTCCCCTTAGATTCAAACACCTGCTGGTCCGGGCCTCCACAGAGACCTGGACCAGCAGGTGTTTGTTTCATTGAGTCTGTGTGTAACAGTGACTGACTCCTGCTGGTTTCCTCAGGAACTGGCAGACGGCTCCGTTCATGGAGGTGGAGGTGGCCATCAGGCTGCTGTACATGCTGGGCGAGGCTCTGCCGGCGTCTCACGGCGCCCACTTCTCCGGAGACACGGCGAAGACGAGCGCTCTGCAGGACATGATGCGGACGGTCAGTCACACGACTCCGGTGTCACATGACTCCTGCTGTTTTCCACTGTGTGTTTCTGTTCTGACGTCTTCTCGCTGTGACTCCTCAGCTGGTGTCGTGCGGCGTCAGCAGCTACCAGCACTCCTCCGTGTCCCTGGAGTTCTTCGAGACCGTCGTCCGATACGACAAGTTCTTCATCGTGGAGCCTCAACACATTCCTAATGTTTTGGTGAGAGAAACTCCCGTTTTTAAACTGGCAACAACAGTTTTCTCTGTTTCTGAGGAGCTTTGAATCCGGTCTAACCGCTGTGTTGCGTTCACTGTCAGATGGCGTTCCTGGACCAAAGAGGACTGAGACACAACAGCCCGAAGGTCCGCAGCAGAGTGGCCTACCTCTTCTCCAGATTCATCAAAACTCTGCAGTGAGTGTTTGGACCTTCTTCACCTCAGGCTCAAGTTTCAGTAACTGGACGTCGTGATTACAAGATGATCATTTAAAACTTCTTCTTCTGTGTTTTATTTGAAGTGTTGATCCATCAGAAGATATAAAAACCATCTCAGTGTAGTTTTACATCTCCTCTCTCAGGCTTCTCTCTGGAGCTCTAGTAACAACAGGTCTGTGAGCCAATCAGAAGAGAGGAGGCTCTGAGCCTCTCTTCTGATTGGCTGACTGTTTTCTGAGTGATCCAATAAAAATAAAGCAGATTTCAGGTAAAAACACTCAGAGAAACCAAATCCTGCAAGGTTTGGATGGTGGGTCCAGGTGGGCGGGGCTTGGTGACTGCTTTGTTGTGACATCACAAAGTTCCAGAAGTCCTGACGGCTGGTTTTAAGGCTCAGTTTCTGAATATGGACCTTTAATCATTTATATATTTATTTGGTCAAGTGAAGAAGAAGTTGTTTACCTGTTTCCTGTGCTGATGATGATGATGATGATGATGCTGATGATGCTGCTCTCTGCTGACAGTAAACACATGAATACCTTCATCGAGGACATCCTGACCAGGATCCAGGACCTGCTGGAACTGGCTCCTCCTGTAAGTGTCAACATGCGAATCATTTCTTTACCCAGAATCCTCAGCGTCATGTCGCTGCTCCTGAGTTATCAAATGAAATAAATATGGAAAGAAAACTGCTGATCCCTCGAATGTCACGTGACATCATCTTCATCCTCCTCCTCGTGTCCAGGAGAACGGTTTCCTGGCGCTGCTGACCAGCGACGACCAGCTGTTCATGTTTGAGACGGCGGGCGTCCTGATCGTGAACGGGGAGTGTCCAGTGGAGAGGAAGCAGGCGCTGATGAGGAGTCTGCTGACGCCGCTGATGGACGCCTTCCGCCTGCTGCTCGCCAAACTGTCGCAGGAGACGGAGGAGGAGAGACAGACGGCGCTCGCCGACTGTCTGAGCCACGCCGTCGGGTTCGCCAGGTGAGGAACCAGTTTGATAGAAATGTTTTCTTGTTTTCTCAGAAACACAGAAGAAGAGTTTACGCCTGAATCTCACTGAAGGACTCACTTCCTGTTTGAAAACAGCTGTTCCCACATGGAAACTTCAGGGTTCAGACTGAAGGAGGTTCAATCTGCAGGAAATGAATGAAGCAACACAGATCAAAATAAATAAATCTGTTTCTGACTCATTTCAAATCTGGAGGAGAACATGTGAAACTCTGATGTTGGGCATTTATTAAGTATTTAATAATTAATCAGATTAATTTGTTATAAAACTGTTGCTAGGTAACGGCAGATGTGAGTGAACAGCAGGTCGTATTGTAGGACGTTTGGTTTCTGATCATCTGTAGAACAGTATCAGCATCTTCACCCCCCCGTGTTCCTCTGCTGCAGTCGGACCAGTAAGGCGTTCAGCAACAAGCAGACGGTGAAGCAGTGCGGCTGCACCGAGGTGTACAGGGACTGTCTGCACACCTTCCTGCCCGCGCTCAGCTGCCCCGTCCAGCGGGGGGTGCTGCGCAGCTCGGTGCGCTCCTTCCTGCACCGCATGATCATCTGCCTGGAGGAGGAGGTGCTGCCCTTCATCCCCGCCGCCTCCGAGCACATGCTGAAGGACTGCGAGGCCAAAGACCTGCAGGAGTTCATCCCGCTCATCAGCCAGATCACCGCCAAGTTCAAGGTACGCAGGAAAAACCAGGATTTTCAAACTGCAGTTAAAGCGAAAAATGACAGATTTCTAAACAGGGTGATTAACAGGCTCTTTCCTCCGTCGCCATGGCAGCGGCAGGTGTCCCCCTTCCTGCAGCAGGTCTTCATGCCGCTGGTCCTCGCCATCTTCGAGGTGCTGGCGCGGCCGGCGGAGGACAACGACCAGGCGGCGGCTCTGGAGAAACAGATGCTGAGGAGGAGCTACTTCAGCTTCATCCAGACGGTCACAGGGAGCGGGATGAACGAGGTGATGGCCAACCAGGGTGAGTGACGCCCGGAGTCCAGGGCTCAGCTGGAGCAGAGGAGTCTGATGACGGAGAGCAGGTGAAGTCAGTCCATGACGTGAACGTTGTGTTTGTCTCCAGGAGCTGAAAACATCGAGCGCGTGGTGTTCACCATCATCCAGGGAGCCGTGGACTTCCCCGACCCCATCGCTCAGAAGACCTGCTTCATCATCCTGTCCAAGCTGGTGGAGCTGTGGGGTGAGAGACGCTTGGTTTCCTGTCGCCCTCCCTTCTGTCTTCTGTCTGTCCCGTCCTGACGATTCTCTCATCCACTCTGCAGGAGGGAAAGACGGCATGGTCGGCTTCCCCGACTTCATCTACAAACACATCGTCCCTGCGTGTTTCCTGGCTCCTCTCAAGCCGACCTTTGACCTCTCAGACGCTCAGACAGTCCTGGTGAGTTTCTGCACCTGAGTTCAGTCTGAAAACATCCTGTTTTGAGTTTGTCCTCGACCTTCAGTGTCTCTGTTTGTCCTCCAGACGCTGTCGGAGTGCGCCGTCACACTGAAAATGATTCATCTCAAACGGGTAACAACAGATTGATGATGAGTTCACTCACGGAGGAATTTATTTGTTCTCTGTGTTCAGCTGCAAACTGTTGTTTCATCTTTTCCTCAGGGGCCGGAGTTCATCCAGTTCTTACAGCAGGAGTACCTGCCCTCACTACAGGTGTCACCTGAAATCTCACAGGTAAGACTCTGAACCAGCAGGACGTCTGTGCCTCCTCCTACTGTGACATCACGAGTCAGTGACATCACGAGTCAGTGACGTCACGAGTCAGAGGAAGGCGTCATTAAAGGACAGTAGTTTGTTTCATTGACCCTCGTCAGGCTCTTTCTCCCTTGTGTAACTTATTTTTCTGGGTCAGAGTTGGAGGTCAAAGGTCTCGAGTCGATCTGAGAGGAACTATTTAACACACCAACATGACATATTTTAACTGATTTTCTGTCTCTACAAACTATTTTGCTATATTTCATTTAACGTTCTTGTACTTTGCTGCAGCTCATCTTATCTTAAAAAACAAACTTAATATCAACAATATGTGACTGTAAAGTTTTTCTCCAGCTGTGACTGAAGCGCTCTGACTGTAATAACTACACAACTACAGTCAGCTCGTGAGCAGTTGTGATTTGCCAGTAATGAATCTGAAGGAATCTCAGGGGTTTGGTGAAATATGATTGAAATCCCTGGAGCTGCAGTTTTTTGATGAAGGTAAAATGTGTGAGAACGTCAGACTGTGAATGAAGCGTCACCTACAGACGGCGTTCTCCAGACGTACAGGAAACATGTTTGTTAATAACTTGATTTATTTAGCACCTTTCAAAACAAAGTGCTCTGATCCAACAACGATCACATCAGTGTTTTTATGTCTGTTTGCATATTGTTCAGTCCTGGGTTTGACACGTGTTTCTAACTCTGAGCTGCTGGTTGTTTGTATCAGGAGCTGTGTCAAGTGCTTCAGCAGCCTGACATCAAAGTGCTGAAAAACTACATTAAGGTAAAGTGTGTGTGTTATAGTGTGTGTTCGTGGCTGTGATCAGTGTCTGGAGTTGCTTTGTATTGATGAGTATTGATTTCTATCAGCTGATCGTCCTCTCCTCCTCTCAGGCGTTCTTCCAGCGAGCGAAGCTGTAGGAAATGAAAGTGGAAGTTCTCTGGGACTGGAAGGACTCTTCACAGGAAGTGGTCGATCTCGCCACTTCACAACAACAAAACAAAAGGACCTTAGCATAGGAGCTGCTTTTGCACTTAAAAAGTAAATGCGTAACAAAGCCCAGTCTGTCGAAGTCAGGACAGTGGACAGAAGGTCGGTCGGTGGACGGACCCCTCCCCCTCCCCCTCCTCCTCCAGCTGCCGGGAAGACGAGCTGTCCACGAGGACTCGAGACGTGAAGGAGCTCGATGAACTGTGGGGACGGGCTTTGAGACGTGTGGAGAGGACGCTGCGTGGCGGGAAACATTTGGTAACGATCCTGGAAGGATAATTAGGATTTGTGTAACGATAGCTTTATCTAGTCAGACCTTCACAGTAGAAAACACATTTCACAACCTGCTAGATTTGAGTTTATTTTGAACGTTTGCTGCCACAGAACGGATGAAAAATAAGGGCTGAACTGCTTCATTTGAATTTAAAACGTGGCATTGATTCTTTTTTTTTACGTGTTGACGATCTGACGGTTGATTTGAAGTTTGAAGTGAAACGTTAACGATGTGCCGCCGCCTTCACTCACTCTACACTGAGTACAGTCCACGCAGGGAGGTTCTCCTTTGCTGGGAATATGACACATGATACTTTTGGCTTTTTTAATTTCAGATGGAAATGAACATAAAACGGAGGAACAAAGTGTAAATAAGAGAATAAGATGTTAAAAATGTAAATAAAGTTCCTAGGTTTAGTTTTTTTTTTTTTAATCTTCATTCCCATCTGGAAACTAAATGTGGAGCTCGTTTCTGACAGGAAATGGAAAAAAAACAATGAATTAAAAGTTAAGAATGATGAAAAATTAAAATTGTTGCTTTGAGTATTTTTGTTAATCATAATTTTTATTTATCCAATTTTTACTCTTGTAATTTCGACTAAAGTCTGACTTCACAAATCTCATAGTCGTGGTTTAAAGTTTTCAGTTACTGTCACATAAATGTGTCTTATCTTATTTTGCTCATAGTTTTGAAAATATTAAGATTTTGATTCTGGAGATCATAAGTTTTAGTTGCTGTCTTAAATTTTATTTACTATATTTTTGATGTGATTTCTTAAATTTTACTTCCTGAGCCAAAATTTTGAGTAAAATTTTATTATTCTAATCTTTAAATCTCAGAATTAAGACTAAAAAAAAGTCATAATTATGATTTAGTTTGACTTTTATTTTATGTTTTCTCATTCTTAACATCGTGTTTTTTTCTTTTCTTGGCACTAATGAGCTTCCGTAGATCTCTTAGGACTCACTCGTGTACAGACATGAATTCTCCCGTGTACAGACGCAGGTCAGTAAATTTTATATCGAAGCATTTGTGACAATTCAGGACGATCGACTGATTGATTGATTGATTGATTGATTATGCAACGCTTTACTGCGAGAGCAATACTGTGAAGGAGCCGTCAGTGAAAATTAGACGAATCAGAGATGAAACTGTAAAAACTGTGTGATGTGAAAAACAAACCGACTTCTTAACCTTTGACCTTGTACAGAAGCTTCTCTTCGTTAAGACATTAGATATCGTGCCCCCCCCCCCCACCACCACCCCCCCTGAGCTGTTTCCACTGTTAATATCAGTTTCTGCTTTTCAGTTCATTCCTCGTCATTCGATTTATTTGCCTTCGGTTTTATTATTTTTTTTACATTTTCCCAGACAAAGTGCCTGAATGTTGCTTTCAATGACACATGGTCACACAGGCAAAAGAAATAAACCGGTTTAAAGTAGAAGTCTGGTGTTAATTCTGCATTTTTCGGCTTTCGGCCCCAAATTTAAAAATGTAAATCTTTAAAAATACAAATATATAATTTCTTCTGGGACTATTTTCAGAGGCGGATTAATACACATTTGGATTTAGACACATTTGTTAGTAGGATATATCAATGGTTTGTTGTTGCACGTGGTATTTGTTGACAAGAAAATAAAACATAACCAGACTTTTAACTAATTAAATGAATTAATAATAAACAACTTCAAAAAAACGTCACACTGCAGCCAAACAGGAATTAATAGATTTTTTGATGTAGAATTATTGCATAACAACTTCAGGTGGTGTCTATGAAAAGAAGCTGAAGCAACGAAACCAAAATAAAATAGTTTGACAGAAGAAAATATTAAATCTTTATTTTAGAGCTGCTTAAACTCCAAATCATTTTCTAATTATTTCTGAGGAAGTTTCCTGCGGGATAAAAAAACAAGTAATTTGGCTCCAATAATCGGTCCAATAGAAACGTGTAAATCAGCAAGATATGAAAAACTCATTTGTGTAAAGGCAGCCGAGCAATTCAAAATCAAGAATAATAATGTTTTCACTCATAAATAAGGATTGATTAATATTTACATACTCGAGTTTAAATGAAACTCAAATTCGTGGAATTCAAAACAAGTTTTTAATTAAAACCAAATTACAGGAAACTCTAAGGACATTTTTAAGGAAGTTATTAGGAAATAATAATCCTGTTATGTTGAAGCGTTACCAAGGAAACTGTTAAATATCTAAAACTCCGCACAAAGTTAATAAGAGGACCTTTAGTGAGTGGTCAGTCATCGCTGAACTCCACAGAGGTGAAACTGATCTTCTTCTTTTGTAAACATAAAGACGACAATATCAAGAGTGTAATTTTAAATCTGTTGTTTTAGTTTAGATGCAGAAAATAAAAACATTTCCAGCCTGATCAGGAATTCAAGGAGCGTTGCTAAAAGTTGTTTTTAACAGTGTTAAAGTTTTTCAAGTTGCTTTTTTTTTTCCTTTTTTTTTTTTTAAAGGAATAGTTCAACATTTGGGGAAATATGAGACGTTCGGATAGATTTAAATAAAACATCCCTCTTTAAAAAAAACCTTTAAAAGGATTTAACAAACTTTTACATTGTTTAAAGTCTTAATTGTTATTGTTTTCCATCCAATGACGAGTTAATTATCATAAACCAGTTTGTTTAAAATCAGTCTCACAAAGAAACAAGTACATTTTTTCACGAATCCTGAACTGTTCCTTTTTAAAGTTTTTTCAGTTTTGCCTCCGTACTCTTGAAATCTGTTACAACGCTAACACATTGGTACAACACAGTGACACACAGTGGCTTCAGTCAGTATCTGCACTTCTCTGCACTTAATTCACCTGTTGTGAACAAAGTCCAGTCGACCTGAAACACAAACACCTGAAGTGATATTTAAGTGTGATCGTTCCTCGTTGTACCGTTGTAATATTCACACTCCGGCCTCCGACGGTTTATTTCCTCCCAACACCAGGACGTCAGATTATTTCAAATATCACCACTAAAAAAAAAAGTTTGTTAGATGTTTATTGATGAATATTCAGGTTGTTGCTGCCTGTTCTTAGTTTTTTCCGTGAAGTCTCCGTCAGAGCGAGAGGAGACCTGAGGTTTGATCATATCTAAGAGAAACTTGCCAAATGGACGAATTTGTTGATGGTGAAATGTGTTGATTTGTTTTTTTTGATATGGCGATGAACCTTCTGTTAGAACCAATAAAGTGTTTACTCATCGAGAACAATGTGTTTAAGTCTCATGAACTTCAGCTTTTTTCTATTAATCCGCCGCTGAAACAGTTCAACAACAAATGCTTTAGACATTTATTTTCTATATTTAGATATTCCAGCTGTTTTAGTTACTGAGCCTTTTTAAAAATAAAACTTTATATTTGTGAGAAGTCTTTTTGTTAAACACAAATCCTGTTAATACTTTCCAGTCACTTCTACTTTGCTGTTTTATTTTTTTCAAGCTTTTGTCAATTAAAAGGGGGAGATCATGTGAATCACTGTTTACTTTGTTCTGTAAGTTCATAATTACACAAAGAGGAAGAAAAAAACATTACAAATCCCCCCACCCACCCAAAGTTCTCCCAACAAAACAGCAAAGTAGAAAACAATACAACCTAGCAAACCACAAAGGTGAAGCCTGAAACTTAAACTGTGACTTCTTCTTTCAGTCGCTGTTAAGCTGTTCAAATTAAAAGCATTCAAGTGGCTAAGAGTCTAATCTTTCCCTTTTAATGTGAAACTTCTGCAGGAAGTGTTGAATTTCATTGAAAACTTCAGTGATAAAAACAACCAAGTAGAAAAGACAGACAAACAGTTTATCTATTAAGGAGAAACTTGATGTTGATGAATTTGGGAGAAAATGATGTTCAAACATAAATCTGCAGTGACGTCACATAAAGGAGCTGTAATGGAGAATATTAGATGAACTTCAGTTTTCAGTGATCACCTTTATTTGGACCACAGATTTGGCATAAACAGGAAAATAAAATGTTCAATCAATTATTTTCTTATTAGTGTATTTCATGCTCTCCAACATAAATTCCAAAAAAAAAAAAAATTTGAGCAAATATCTTCTGTTTTTAAAGATTCCAGTGGATTTTGCGTCTTGAGTTTTTTTTGTCTTCATGTCCTTTTGTTTGTTGTAAATTGTCTTTAAATAAAGATCTGTGCAGCTTCAGCCTTTAATCACAGCGATGGGTCTCAGTTTGATCGCCTTCTTACTGATCCCAGCGTCGTGACACGTGTTGACGACGTCCGTCACGTTTTTGTACGATTCAGGAGCCTGAAAACAAAAAAAACTTTAGAAACTCAAAGCTACAAAAACATTAGAAATATATGAAACAACACAAAGATACTAGACTTTAACCTTCCAAATACGGAAGATATTTAGTGCTTTAAACTGAATCTCTAAGATGTTCATAGAATTAGTTCCTGCAACATCTGAACTTCAGCAACTATAAAGTATTCAAATAATAGCAAAAGTTTTTGTACCAAAGTAAAATTTCAGCATCACAGTCACATTTCATGATAAAAACATTGTCCTCACCTCCTCCATGACCAGTTTGGGTGAGGCCACTCGGATGGCGATGCCCTGGTCGGCCAGTTTGTCCAGAACGTCCTGGAAGTCCAGGTTCCTGCGGGACTTCGCTCGAGAGAGAGCGCGACCCTGAAACAGCAGAAACATGGCGAAGGTCGACGTCAGGATTGCATGAGGCGGAATAAACATCTTACTCAGTCTGGCTTTCCCAGAGGACAAGTCTTCTGCATCAGTCAGACTCTTACCGCTCCGTGACAGGTGGTACCGAACGTCTCCGTCATCCCCTGCTCCGTCCCCGTTAGGACATAACTGCAGGTTCCCATCGTCCCTCCGATCAACACCGGCTGACCTGTGAGCTGATCCCACCAAACAAGAAGAAAACCTTTGATTCAGATCACCAGCGCCACCTTGAGACCAGATCTGAATGTCTTGTTAAAGGGTCTGAGGGGTTCTGTACCTGGTAGTCTACAGGGATGAGGGGGTGGTGTGGGGGGAAAGCTCGGGTGGATCCTTTGCGGTGAATCAGCAGAGTCTTCTGTTTCCCGTCCACCATGTGTTCTTCAACCTTGGCGATGTTGTGCGAGACGTCGTAGATGATGTGCATGTCCAGGTCGTCCGGCGTGGTGCTGAAGACCTCAGAGAACGCCTGAAAGATCAAGACATACGACCAGGGATCAGCACAACAGCTGGATCTTATTATTTATGATCTTTATTTATTCATGAGCTGTACCTGTCTGGTGAGGAAGGTCATGGACGAGCGGTTGACCCAGGCGTAGTTTCCGGCGGCAGCCATCCCCTTCAGGTAGTCCTGACCCTCCTGCGAGGTAATGCGGGCGCACGCCAGCTGACGGTCGTTCACTATGATCTTATCCCTCTTCATCGCCTTCTCCATGGCAACAAGAGCATCTGTCAACAACAACATGTTTACAGGCTGAATAACTGCAGACGTTCCCTGTGATGTCTTTAACATACTTTTGTTAAACCAACAGTCGTAAACCTTAAGAATCTTCTTCTCCAGGTGTTTAAGGAAGTGTAGTTCCTACCTGTGGCCACCTGGTGTCCCAGGCCTCTGCTGCCACTGTGGATCATCACACACACCTGGCCTTTGTGGTCGATGCCCATCTTCTTGGCGGCATAGTCGTTGTAGATCTCGTCCACCACCTGGATCTCAGCGTAGTGGTTTCCCGCTCCCAGAGTCCCCAGCTTCAACACACAAACACACGGTCTCACACCGTCTCTACGCTGACGATGTTCCGGTCTATGTCTACATCCAGAAGTTCACCAAGTCTGTAGTCTTGGTTCTAGCCCCTCTTATGTTAACCCCCCCTGTAATCTAGACCTCTGTGAACCCAGCTCTGAGTCTGGACCAGTATGTAAACCCTGGAGCACCGGGGGCTGCTGGGATACCTGGGGCAGGCCTCTCTTCTTGGCCTTGGAGGAGACCTTGTTGGGGTCGGCCTGCAGCATCCTGCCGTACTCCTCGCAGTGCTCCTTGTCCTCGGCCCAGGCGTAGCCTTCCCTCAGAGACCAGTCCACCCCCATCTCCAGAGCCTCCTCCAGGTCCCTGGTGATGCACAGGTGAGACAGGTGAACAGGTGCAGAGGGTTTGTGCTGTGATCTAGTCTCAGTCTGGAGGGATGTGATCTTACTTGGCCCCCATGGGGATGACTCCCTTAGACCCGACTCCCACTGGGATGTGGTTGAACAGGGACTGGGCCAGCTGCTCCTTCACCGGCTGCACGTCACGCTCGTCCAGGTTTGTCCTCAGGAGACGGACGCCACAGTTGATGTCGAAGCCGACGCCCCCTACAGGAGAAACCAATCAGGGACATTTAGACTTTTATAGGCTGATCATAACAACAAACCCATTGTTTAGTTACTAAAAATTGTCATTTTGCAATTTAAATACTCTTTTCAGTCATTTTTTAATGACTTTTTATCTGTTCAACCTCTAAAATGTGAGAATTTTAGGCTTTTTTTGCTCTTAAATTATTATAAAATAACCAAAAAACCAAAACTAGGAGCCAAAGGAGGTTAAAATAGGCTAAAAGGCTCCTGGAGAATCACACACCTGGAGACACCACAGCCTCAGGGTCATTCATGTCGAAGGCCGCCATGTTTCCGATAGCAAACCCATATCCAGAGTGGACGTCTGGGAGGCCGATGGATCTCTGTGGAACAATGAGACGACCTCAGACCTTCAGCACATCCTCATCCTCGTATCTCTGAGGGTTTATAAACAATCACGTTACTCACATGTATGATCCCGGGCAGCGCCGCCACGTTCCCGATCTGCTTCATGGCTGGAAGGAAACCGCCCACACCTGAGGAAAAATAAGACGTGAATGATCAGAGGAGACGTCAGAGTGCGTCACAGGAAGAGAAGGTTTCTGGGTGTAACAGCTGACAGACCTCCTCCTCGACAGGCGTTACGAAGCTCCTCAAACATCAGCTTCTCCAGAGAATCGTTGACGTAGAAATTCCCTTCAACCTGAGGAACACACGTTATCAAGGTATTTTTATTACTAGGCCAGCTACAGGTTTCTCTTTAGTCCCTCTTTTTAACTCTAATTATTTACTTTTATACTTGATACAGGTACCTGACGAGTTTCCAGTCCATTTATAAAATTAAGTAAAGCTTTATTTGCAGTTACTAGTATTTTTTAATGTAATAGTTACAATGATTTTCACAATAAAAGCATCAAATATAAAACAAGCAGGAAACTAACAAAGCACATGAAAAAAAATGGAATTTATAAACAGAAATAACATCACACAAACATCAGTTAAGAAAGGTGAGTGAATATAAGTGGGTATTGAAAAGTTTCCTTTATTTCATATGAATGTAATGATACTGCAGTTTAGGCAGTAAAAGGTAAACTGGCTCAAAAACTATTTCAAATACAGAAATTCTCCCTTCATTAAATTACAGTATGATCTTTTATTTTTTTGGTTTGTTTTGTTGATATTTTGTGTTAAAAATAAATCAGATTTTTTGATCTTTTAAAAATCAATATCAGCTTTTAAAAAACCTCCAGTGTTGTTCAAATTATTCTCTGGCCTATATCATCTAGAGAAAATCTTTTGCTGAATTCAAATGGAAAATCAGCCTTACTTTAATGCAATTTAGGATGTCTACATAGTCATAGTGTATATTAACTAATAAATTAAAATATGTTACATTATTTACTTACATTACAGCATACTTTTTAGTTTTTGTATTGATCAGTTTCATTCTTTAATAATAAATTTGATGGGATTCTTGGTTGTCAGGTTTTGACATTGTGCTGATTTCAATTAGAAAACCACTTAATAGTAATTGAGGTTACATATTTATCCACTCTGTAGATAATAATTTGATTTATTTTACATTTGTTTCATATCAGCAGGACCCTCCCTTTCACTCGGCTCACATCTTATCACTAATAGTTGAGTCATTGAGCTTCGTCATCAGGTTTAACTTCAGTTTGCAGCTGGGTCCCTGTTTATTTTAATGTGTAACATCAAGTTTGTTATTGTCATATTTTCAGTAGGAGTCCCTGCCTGGTTAAAGTCTATATATACTAGCCGACATGTGCTAACTGACTGCATAGTTAACTGTGGCTCATTAAGCTAACCAGCTAGCCACGTTAACATTAATACATTCTCACTTACCCTCATGTTGGGAACAAATCCCTTTTTAATCCTCCAGCAGTTACTGGTGATTTTATCCAGGTACTGCAGCTCATCGTTGTAACTTCGGCTCATTTTTCTGACCCAGAAATGTTAAGTTTTTACGGTTTGACGCTGCGTTTCACCGCCTGTCTGATGCCAAGTGCCAGCAGGCAGAGCGGTATGGAAAGCCGCAAGCACTTAGAGAGAAAAACGCGATTGTTAATTTGGCATGACGCATGAAAATTAAACACTAAATTACACAATATTTCGACTGTGAACCTTTTGAACTAAAACTTTAACACTCAAAAATAGAGTTAATAAAGTTTTAATGTTTATTTTGTATTTAATATTTGTTTATCAATCGGAGAAATATTCAATGCTGTACTGCTCGCTTGCCATAGATGTAGTCAAATAATATTTTGTCAAGTTTACCAATGACAGCCACAGTAATACCGGAAGGTTAGTGACCGGTGTCCAAAACAAAAGTATAACTTCTACTTTTATATATACTGTATACACTCTGAGCCATGCGGTGTATGAGCCTCAGCCTGGTATACAATATTATATCAGTGTTACTCATAACATGCAAATTGACAAATGTTTCTAATTATGCTACTGAAGGTGTTTAAAAAAAAAAAAAAAAAAAAAAGAAAGAAAGAAAAACTGAATTGGAAAAAATCTGAAATCTGAATCTGAAACTGAACTTTGAAAATCTTAACCGGAAACGGTTTGTTTAGCCGTGCAGTGTTTGACGCAGTTGTCAAGTCGCTGCTGGTTAATGTTTACAGTGCGATTTATCAGAGAAGTGTCTTGAAGCTCAGTGGAAATCTTCCCTTTAATTTATCGCGTAAGTGTTTTATGTTCGGGTCTGAAGCTCTTCAATGTTTTCATCACCGTTAACGTTGGTTAAACAAGTTAACTAGCTTACACTAACTAGCTGCACTGTTACGCAGCAACTTAGAAACGTTAGCTAACGTTCAGACTCCAGGCTAGAAACGAAAACGAAACGTTTCATTTCTAATGAAATAACAAGCCAGACTTATGCTGACTTACTGAATCTGTTTCTGTCTAAATTTATTTATCGTGCTTTATTTGTCTCATGCGTTGGTGATTTTGTCCCGTGTTTCTAACGTTAGTTAACGGAAAATTAAAAGTTACCTGAACCAGAATTTTTAGCTAAATTAGAAAGTACAGTCTTGTTTCAAGCTAACTCAAAGCGGGAGTCCACTCAAAGATGGAAAACAACGGGAATGACTCATCAACAAATTAAAACTGGTATATTGTTAATGGGATTTTGAACAGCTAAACTTTCATCCCGCATCAGAGCAAATTAATGACTCAAAGCCTTTTTGTTCACAGTGCATTCAGCAGGTCAGCTTTGTACAAAATGATGGATAATCATAATATATTTGCCTTAAATGTGGCAGATTATTTAGAGTAGAATATCATGAGAAAACACCAAAGTCCTAAAAGAAAGAAATAGACATTTTTTTTCAACCAAACTCCATGAACTTTTTAGCAGATTTTAGTGAATTCTGTTTTTACGCAGTTCTACTGAAGAACCACGCTGAATGCTGTGTAGTTTGTTTGTAAAACAGATGTTATATGGTATAGTAAAACATATTATCGGGTATGTTATGTGGCCAAAAGTGTGTGGACACCTCTGTTCATACTTTTGTGCCCGGGGTGTTTTTCATGGTGAATTCATGCTATTATAGTTTCGTGAAAACAGATGTAGTTAGTGATTATTAGGTATACTTTGTAGACAAAAGTATATGGACTAATCCTGTTAACTGAGTCCAGAGATTCATGAAAAAGTTTGTTTAAATATGTTATATAAATAGCCATCTTTACACCAAACTCCATTAAGTTTTTACCAAATTTTAACGAAATCTACATTTTGAAGCATCCTGTGAAAATACAAACAGGATTCAGTCTTTGTCTGTTTGTTAAAGGTATAATATAAAGTATACACTGAGGCCAAAAGTATTTGGACACACCTTTAGTTCCAGTGAAGGGAAATCTTAATGCTACAGCATACACTGATATTTTAGACGGCAGCAGTTTTTCCTGTTTCAACATGACAGTGGCTCCGTGAACTTGATCTGTTTGATGCTTGATTTCTGTTGAGGGTGGACTTTGATCATGTGTTGTCCACAGCATGAAGCTGCGGGTCCGGATCAACAGACAGACCTGCAGGGTGGATATACAGGGAGAAGAACCCAGTTTGGGAGAGCTCAAAGATCACATCAAGGAGAATATCCTGTCTTTACACGGACTCAGGTAAGACATCGACCCAGAGACACAGTCAAATACTGATTCTTCTTACTGATGAAGCCCTTGTGATACTGAATGTTTCCTGTTTGTCTCTCAGTGCAGACACAGAGTTCAGTTTGTCTCTGAACGGCTCAGAGCTTCTGTCAGACACCGGTCAGACTCTGTCGTCCTGCGGCATCGTCTCTGGAGATCTGATCTGTGTCATCCTGCCTGAGTCTGCAGCTGCAGCTGCCGCCGCCACCACTGCTGCCTCCAACGCCGCTGCCGCTGCCGCCGCCACCGCTGCCACCGTAGCTGCCACCGCCCCTGCTGCCGCTGTGACCACCTCAAACTCCTCCACTAGCTCCACCGACCCGAGGACCAGTAGCACAGAGCGCCGGGGGCAACAGCAGCAGAGGCATTTGATGGCTGCCGCAACCTCTGACCAGGTGAGTGATTCATCTGAGGTGAAAATATGTTTCCAGACCTTCTTCCTCTTTTTAATGGTGTGATTTAAAGCCCAGCAGCTCCTAACAAAGAAGATCACACTCCACCTTCAGCAGACAAGTTTTAATTTAATAATTTGACATAAATTAGATAAAACGTCAGTGATCACTGTGGAGAAACAGCAAATACAGACTGTGTAAAAATAAAATAAAGATCTGACTAACTGATAAACAGCCAAATCTACCAATATCATAATACAGTATATATCAACCAATAAGAAAGGAGAAATGTCAATGATGTGTTTAAGGTCAGTGTCATTATACAGTTTGTCCACCAGAGAGCGCTGACGGGTTTATTTCCTCACTATAACATGTCAAATATCAATCAGACAGACAATATTTTATATGTATTTACTTAGTGCTCAAACACACACAATATCAAATATTTACATCTATTACAGAAAGATGAAACTTATTCAGAGAAAAAGACAAACTTATCCTCACAGAAGAGGTGAAGCTCCTCCCACAGCGTCAGTGTGGTGGAACACAATAAAAGTGGGTTGTCAGTGAAGCACACAGGTGATGAGAGTGTGTGGACTCTGGAATCTGTTACTGAAATTCAAACTGTCACTTTGAGCAGAAAACAATCTTCATTGACAGTAAACTGCTGTCAGAGTCAGTGAAGCTCATCGTGTTTGATGCTGAGTCGTTTTTCTCACATGCACAGTCCTGTCTGTGGTTGAGGTTTGGGAAAGATGGCGTTTCTGGTTAAACTAAAATGATCCAATGTTTCACAAAAAAGCAAAGATATGAGAAAGATAAAGATGTAAAAAAAAAAAAAGTAACAAAATATCAAAGGGACCATGAAACAAAAGAAGGAAGTTAAACAGAAATAGCAACACAGTAAAAATGAGTCAAACAGGAAGGAATAAGTAAACCAATTAAAACATTAAAGCTAATGAATCAACTACAATAAGAACAGCTGTAAGTGAAGTGAAGATTAAAATAAACATTTAAAATGATAAAATGTTTTTTAGGGTCAATATTTATAATAAAATATGATATAAATACAATTAAACACAAGGTCAAAATAAGATGTTAGTGTGTGAATATGTCTCCACTGGGAAAAGACCAGGAGGTAAAACCTGCAGCGGTGAATCAGAGACCAAAGGACAACCAGGAGCACGTGGACAGCTCCCACGTCAACAGGATTCAGAGGGAAGTCGTGAGCAGCGGAGTGTCCGTGTCCTACGAAAACATTGTTGGACAGGATCCGGCCAAGCAGACACTCCAGGAGATAGTTGTCCTTCCTGCCTTAAGGCCGGACCTCTTCACTGGCCTGAGAGCTCCGGCACCTGGTCTGCTTTTATTTGGACCACCTGGGAATGGGAAAACCATGCTGGCCAAAGCTGCTGCCACCGAGTCCAAGGCGACGTTCTTCAACATCAGCGCTGCCAGTTTGGTCGATAAATATTTCAGAGAGTCTCTCTGGGTGCTCCAGCCTTCTCCCACTAACTTTAAATAAAAATCTCAGCATTACATTTTTTTTCTTGCTTTTCTCATCATTTCCAGTCAAAATTGCTGCCAGTGCAGTGAAACAAGACTGTGAGGCTGATCAATCAATCAATCAATCAATCAATCAATCAATCAATCAATCAATCAATCAATCAATCAATCAATCAGACAGACTCACACACACACATTTACACACAGAACAATAAATGACCAAATAATAGATATAAACAACAAAAGTAAGAGAATGATAACAGAAGCTGAATAACAGAGACGTCAACAACAGAAAACAGGAAGTAATCCAGGAAGTAATCATAGAAGAAAAGGACAAACCTGTAAAACAGCTTCAAATATTTAAATAAATAGAAAGATAAATAAATAAATAAAATTCAATTAAGAGCCGGATTAAAAAGGTCGTTCTTAAGTTTGCTTTTAAAAATATAAACACTTGGGTTTTTGCCACAGTGTGTTTGTTCGTTCCTGAATGTACACGATGTAAATATGAACTTTTGTTTTTACACAACCAGCTTTTATTTTGACAGAGCATCGTTTCTGTAAAATACTGGACGTGGAAGTGAAGTGAGTGACCGGAAAACTCTGAAATAAAAATGCACATGAGAAGAAAAGAAGATAAAACCTTTGTGAATCATATCACAGCTGTGTTTCTCTGCTGGTCACTGACCTGAACATTAACCCTGACCCTCTCCGTGTCCGTGTTAAACAGCCCAGCAGCAGCAGCAGCTCTGCAGCCCTCACACAGTCTGAGGAGACCACGGAGATGCTGGACTCCTCTGAGCCCCCGGTCCCCAGCTGGGAGCCCATGCTGTGCAGCGAGGCAGAGGAGGGTCAGGCCCCTCTGTCTCTGGAGCTCCTGTACCACTCTGCCCAGACCGCCAGCCCCAGCGACGCCATCATGGTGGCCGGAAACCTGCTGATGCTCGAAACTGGGTTCATTCCTCAGGTGAGGAATTTGGATTTTATTTTCTGTTGAGATCTGAGGCTCCACAGAAGATGAATCTTAACGATTTCTTCCACTTTAATTGGACAGAGACTCGACATAAACAACCAGCAGACAAAACATTAAACACACTGAGTCACACTAAACAAACCAAATGACATTACAAAATCAATCAGGCTTGACAAGCTAAATAAAATATTAAAGAAAAGATAAAGAAAAAATGTTTTGAATCTTAATGATTTTAACGACGTCCTGACCTTTACTCCAGCACCACCATATCTTTCATGGTATTTGGTCAATTTGAAGAGGTTTCAAATCATGGAGGTGATCCATAAAGAGCCTTTGATATATTACAATTCTTGAATTTATCCATTATTTACAGTAAATTATTGTGGGTAAACCTGGGAAACATCTGAATTAAGGTGTTTTTAAAGGGTTACGTTTTTCAAATTAAAAGACAAATTTGCTGTAATGACTCACTGATCATCTCAGTTCTTCATTTCCTGTTTGTTAGATTGATCTTGAATATGAATCCAGACAACATATGAACAGTTGTGATGAATGAAAATGAAATGATTGAGGTTTTTATTCTCTGTGTGTGGAGGGCGGTGAGCTGAAGCCTGCTGAGATGCCTGATGGGTGGAGGTCAGCGGGTGGAGTCTTCAAGCTCCAGTACTCACATCCTCTGTGTGAGAACAGCCTCGCCATGGTGGTCGCCGTGTGTATGGGCCCCGTGCTCGTCATCAACGGTGAGGAAGTTTATTGTGAAAATAGTTTTATTTTCACCAAAAAAACATCAATACAGTAGAAATGAAACAGAATAAAGTGAGAGTAGAATCTATTCTCACCCGTCTCTTCTCCCGCAGCCACTCTGAAGGTGAACGAAACCGTGGACACGGTTCGTAAGCTGTGTCTGAATCCGTCCAGCTACGTGACCGACGAGTGGCCAGGTAGGGCTCTGATTGGTCGCTGTGTCTTCGCGCCGGTGACGGAGCTTCTGTGAATGACTGAGTACGATGTCACGTCTCTGTTGTTGTCGTTCAGGAGAAAGTGCGGCGGCAGCGTTCAAGGACCTGAGCAAACTGTCTCGAGTCTTCAAAGACCAGCTGGCGTACCCGCTGATCGCCGCCGCCAGAGAAGGTACAGACCAGCAGAGGTCATGTGACGGTTTAGAGGCAGATTTTTAGAGTTTTGATCTTATTTAATTTTATTTAACTTTTTTTTTATTAGTTTTTAGTCCGATGAAACTTTTCAGCCCCGTTCAGACAGGATTCATGTTTCAGCAGCAGCTGGGTGATCACTAATGATCTGAACCCAACTGTGATGCTGTAAAATGGCTCAAATTAAAGCTGAGACTCGGCTCTTTAATGGAGTTTCAATTTTTTTTATTTCAAACTGAATGTGCTGAAGCTCAGAGCCTGAACAACAAACAGCAGCTGTGTCCCAGTTCAGGGGTCGCATCCTTCAGAGGACGTGGTCTCCAAAGCCGTGGCTCTTCGTAGACGAAGTCTGGTTTACGAAGGATTTTCACTTTGCATCACCAGCCGTACCAACTCCTGTCGCCTAGCAACCTTGACAACACGTAGCTTCTTTTTCTCTAAAAGGTTTTGTTTTAAGGTCGTTGGTTTCAACAGTTGTACCGTGGGATCGATGGACCCTGAAGGATCCACCTGTTGGAGTCTTCATGCTCCAGGAGGAGAAGGGGCCTTCGAGTTGGGACAGTCTAGTCGCCCGTCTTCAGATGCAGCCTGAAGGATACGAGCCCTGAACTGAGACACAGCTGACGTGTAAATGAACAGTACTTCCTGTCTGAACTGAACTGGTGGCTGAGATTTACCTCTAAAAGCTCTGTGGTGACGTATGTGGTCATGAAATGTCATCATCCGTCTGCTGCCTCTCGTCTACAGCGATGGCGCTGCCGGTGGCGTTCGGTCTGGCTGCTCTTCCTCCGGAGCTCCTCCTCCGAGTCCTCAGGCTGCTGGACGTCCGCTCCGTGGTGAGACTGTCCTCCGTCTGCAGACACTTCAACGGCGCCACCGCAGACTCCACACTGTGGAGACACCTGTACCGCCGGGACTTCACAGGTGAGGCCAGACCAAGGTTTTTAAAATCCAGAACCACAGTGACTGAGTGACCTGTGAGAACCCTGATGTTCTGTTTGAATACAGAGAGGAAATATTTATCTCCCAGTTTCTCTACTTCTTATTCCTCTGCCCGGCAACAGTCAGAGCGGCAGCCATTTTTTTGTCAGGTTGTCCGTCTGTCCCGTTCTCGTGGACACAAAATCTCAGTAACACCTCGAGGGAATTTCCTCAAATTTGGTAAAAACCTTCACTCGGACTCAAGGAAGAAGTGATTCGATTTTGGTGGCTAAAGGTCAAAGGTCAAGGTCACAGTGATGTCAAGACACACTTTTTAGCCATAACTATTTTATATGACTGTGGATAAACAGGGATGTAACCTGGAACTAGTCTGAGTAATCAAATAATAATAAAAAATAAACTCTTCATATGTGTGTTGTGGTTCAGATCCAGATCCCAGCAGGTCCAGAGACACAGACTGGAAAGAGGTGAGAATCCATCAGACACAGTTAATGTGAAAACTTAATGCTTCTGTCTCAGTCTGACAGATTTAAATAAAGTTTTTTCTCTTCTTCCTGCAGCTTTATAAAAGATATCACAAGCTCCGCTGTGAACATCGACACATCGCTCGCCACCGCTCCCTCCCGCCCTTCCACCGAAACCCCTGGGACATCTTTGGCTCCGGGCCCACCCCCCTTCACCCACCGCTGCCCGGCATCATCGGAGGCGAGTACGACCAGAGACCGCACCTCCCCCGCGGCCCCCTCCCGCCGCACCCCCGCTACGAACCCCTCGGCCCCCTTTTCAACGGGCGACCTCTGAATGACCTCCGCAGAGCCCGGGCAATGGGACGACCTGCAGACGTCCGGCGAGGATTCATCTGATGTGGGTCTGGATTCAGGACTGATGTGTTCTGTAATAAAAACCAAGACCTGAATGAAACCAGAGTCATCCATGTGAAAGAGGAAAAGCTTCACTGGTTACGTGATGTGTTCAGGGTCTGTGAGGAGAAAGGGCCCCGGCTGTCGGGGGCCCCTGAAGCTGCAGCTTCACTGTGAATCATTTGTGGTGATTTTATTAAAAGCAGATTTTCTGGGCGTGAAACTGAAACGTGTCAAAGTCCAGTTCTAAAATCTAGTTGTAGTTGTAGCTTCAGCGTTTGTTCTTCTTAATTATTCTTAAAATTAATTTGTATAAAATAAAATAACACACAGTCCAGACAGTAGAAAACCTGGGGGCGGGCTCAATCTGTCTGTAGGTAATAGTCATTATTATGTGTGATGTCCCATTTCAGAATAATATTTATAATTTGGTTTTAATGAATGATGCATTCATGTGTTCATCACTTCAGTAAAGAAGGAGCTCATTTTAATTAGTTGATATTCTGTTGGGAGGTTTGTGAATTTCCACCCAGGGATCAATAAAGTGTTTACATTAATAACACATATAACACATTTTATGGATTATATTTTGTTTTACCAATCTGAATCTGAAAGAGTGACTAAAATTATTAAATGAAAGTGCAGTAAAGAGCACAATATTTCCCATCAAATGAGTCATTGTTTAATTAATAAAAGTGCTCACTCTGTGAAAAGAGATTCAATTATAGGAAGGATAGAAATAAAAGCATTTGTGGGAAATTATGAGATTGAAATTGTACGTTTTTTATTCTGTTTTCTTATTTATACTAATTAACATTTCATTATTTCATAAAGTCCATTTTGACTTCAAACTCTGACTCAAAAACAAACATATTTATAAAACATCTAAATATCTTTTTACTAAGATTAATATTAATCTCAATATCTTGTCATCAGTCATGTGACTATAATATAACAGAGTGCAAGGCAATAATTCAACCATTTTTACAAATGAATAAGTTACAAATAACCAAACACTGATGAACTCTAGCATCAATAATAATGACAGACATAACTAAAGTTATTTTATTTGTATTATTTTTTCGTTTATCCATCTTAACGTAAACTGTGTATTTATACTGCAGTATAATCTTTATTGCACTAATATAATTCTCGTTATCATTGTGAGAACATGTACAGATCACATAAAGTTCTCCTAAAAAAAACAGTAAAATCATTCCCGAGGTAATGACGTCATCTTTTGTCTCAAGACAAAGGGTGCAGTCGTTTAAAGACAGCCGTTTCACCGGCGGTGCAGCCCCGTCTGGGCGGGCGGAGTTTGTTGTTGTTACCCAGAATGTTGTTGCCCGTCAGATGTTGTGAGTTGTGTGTTACTTTCAGCAGCTGAGCCGCCGCCATGTTTGTTTGTTTTTTTATCACCATTTAAATTAAACTTTTTACGGTATTTAGATACATCACGATCCGTTAACAGTCAAACTGACGTAATTAACCGTCGCCTGTTCAAACCGAGCACAAGGCGGGAACAAAAACACCAGTAAATGCAGAACAGTTTAATGTTTAAGTGTTATTATATAAAATATGAAACATTTATTTATGTCAGATTTACTCCGTAGTTCGGTGCGTTCCCTCCTCTCCCTCCACCAGCCGGGCGGGGACTGTCCTGCTCGCTCCTACCGCTCGGCAGCGACGCTAACTGGGGTGCGTCTGATTTGTGACCCGCTTAGCACCGGAGGTGTCAGACTCAGATCCAGTTTATTCATCAGCTCTTTTCTGAATTAATCACATTATGTCTGAATAAGTCACATATTTATACATAATTAAACATAATAGCGAAAGTACGAAAGTTACAAACACATATTCATCCAGTTTTAGTTAAAAAGATCTGAAGTAAACCAACATTTACTTTGGTAATGAACAGATTTCAGCATGTTAAACAGAAGTGGGTCTTAAAAAGGAGGAACATGAAAATATCAGTAGCAGTGTTAAACTGCATCAGAGACCTACAGTTATAATCATGTCATAAAGTAATTTATTCCTGTTTCAGGAAGGAAATATACAAAATACTAAAATGATTCCTGATTTAACAAAACACTATACAGCGTTACACTGTTATAGTACACTATAACAGACTGTATGTGGGAACTATGAGACTGTAAATCATGTTTTTGAGTTACTTTTTTTATTAAAATGATTGGATTTTAAGTCACAATTGATGAAATATTAAAGCAAAAATTTGAAAATACTGAGGTGATGATCCAAAATTATGACTTTTTAAAGCGCTGTTTCCTTTATGATATAATGTAAGAAAAAAATATTATCTTATTTGTCTTGATGAAAATAAGTTCATAAGTCTAAATTATTAAATAGATTTTAATGGATAATTCGTTTGATAAAATGTAAAATAAACTAGACTGGCTTCAGTTTAACCAGGTGAACGGATTGTCTGTAACACCTGTGAATATTCCAGGTCACCAGTGTGTCACTAAACATCGAACATGTGTGATGTGGTGTGTGTGTGTGTGTGTGTGTGTGTGTGTGTGTGTGTGTGTGTGTGTGAGAACGTGTTCAGGTGCTCTGTCCCTTTAAAAGCCTCGTGTTGTTACAGGAAGTGTGAGGGGTGTTTCCAGCTGATCAACAGAACAAGGACCAGAGTCGTCCCCCTCCCGCCAGCAGCCCGACCTGCCCGCTCCGTCCTCCGGCGCCACAGCGGAGCTCACCGGCACCGACCCCCGGCGGCTCCGCTCCGCCGCATTAAGGATCTTACCCGGGAGTAACTAGTGGAAGAACCAGGGAGGGGGATCCTCGGTGCTCCCCGCCCCCCCCTCCCCGCTCCTCCGCTCCCTGTCAGTTAGCTGCCGTGAACCGGTGCCGTCGGTAGCTGTTAGCCCGGACTGTCATGATCCCAGCGCGGAGATGGCGTCCTTCCCCGGTTTGTGTAAGGCTGTCGGGCCCGCGGAGGAGGAGAACGGAGAGGACGGTTCTCTGCAGCAGATGCTGAAGGCCATCGCCGACGAGAGGAACCGACTCAACATCCGCCAGGAGATCAGCGGGCTGGGTGAGAGGATCCGGGCTGCTTCTTCCTCACTGTGGGCCTTGGAGTGTGTGGTGGTCCGGTATCATGGAGGGAAGGGGGGGGGGGGGGGGGGGTTACCAGGTTTATACCCACTTTATATTTATTCTCACATCATCTGATTCATGTGTATTTACATCCAACAGTCTGTCCTTTAAGGATAAGACTCCTCAGTGTTGGGCCTGGATCAGATGAGATTACAGGGCTGGATCAGCAGCCAGACCAGACCCCCAGAGGCCCCCGGGGGCCACAGGGTCACTTCACATCAACTGGTCAACTGGTTTATGAACTGGAACCAGTGAAGTGCAACATCAGCTATAATGGGCCCCTCATCACTGAAAGCTGGGGTCTGCTCTTGTAGAGCAGCCGTGTCAAAATTTAAATAATTATGATTTGAATTAGAATATAACTCTAAACACAATGTGTTTCTGACACACAGAAAACCTGGAGTAAAGTATTATTATTCCTGCTTAGTCAGGAGTTTTATTTATTAGTGTAAAAATGTAGTTTTTATTTATTTAGGATATAAAATTTTAGCTAATACTTTTAAAAAAGCCAAAGTCAAGGGAATGTCTTCAAACGTTTGACCAACAAACAAACAAAGATTTTCAGTTTATTATTATAGTTAAAAGAAAATTAGCAAAAATCCAGATTTTAGAAGCTGCAACTTGAAAATTTTTAACATTTTAGTTTAAAAAGAAACTTGATTGATGAATAAATGATTAATCAATAATCCGAATTAACTGATTTAATCGTCTCAGCTGTGGAGCACTGGTTATTTCTGGGTAAATATTGAAACTGTCGTGTACAGTAGACTTTAATGTGGGGATGAAGATGATGAGGATTCTCTGGTTTGCCCCAGGGACGTAGAATCACTTCCTCATGACGGGCCCTGGGGCCCCACTGTTCATGTTAGTGTCATTACTTCCCCAGACCGCAAATTAGTTGATTAATCAATTGACAGGAAATGAATTGGCAACTATTTTCATAATTAATTTAATCAGTTAAATCCAGTTTTAAAGGAGCTATATATAAGTTTTGCTATTGCTACATAGCTAATGTTAGCATTAGCAGCTGTTTACTCACCAGTCTAGAAGAAACATTGTGAGGTGTGCATCAATTCCTTTACTCTATCTCCAGAGGTAGAAATCAAACCTCTTCTATTTCTATCACTTCCTTTCTTCTACTGAAGCTAGCATGCTAACCAGCTCACTCAACATGGTCAACCCGTGTCGTCACTTTCCGATACCGAGTCACTGCAGTGTGCAGTCTATTTGAAGAAGTAGCTGCTCAGTGGACATATTATAACCTCTTGTCTTGTAAATGAAACAATGGCTGGAGGCTAGCTCCAGCTAGTTAATTAACAGCTGTTAATGCTAACGTTAGCTATGCTAAGTTAGCTATAGTAAAACTTGCAAATAGCTCCTTTAAATGGAAAAATGCCAACAATTCACTGGTTCCAGTTTCTCAAATGTGAATATTTCCTGGTGTCTCAGTTTTCTCTTCTAGTAAACTCAAGATTTTTAGAAATATAAATATATTTACTTGAGCTTCAAGAATAATGATTTTTTTTCACCATTTTTTGACATTTTATTCACTCAATCAATCAATTATTTAAGAAAAGAATTGCCAAATGTATTGATAATGAAAATGATTGCTGGTTGCAGTTCCTCTGTGACGGAATAACACGACCTTCCTGAGGTTTTATGACTGTTTCTTATTGACTCAGATAAAAACAGGAAGTCATTTGATAAAACAACTGAGCTCAACATAAACTGGAACAGTTCAGGTCTTAAAACTGGTTCCTCTACAAGACCAGGAGCACAAGATAATATCATGAGGATATTTTATTTCAGAGTGAAGACTTCTGATAAATTTGTGATCAATCAAATGATGTTAGACTGAACCCGGGGCTGTTGTGGCCTCGGGGTCATTTCCCCCTTTGCCCCGGTTGGTGATCCAGTCTCAGCCTGGAGTTTAAAGACACGCTGAGGTAATTACAGCGTGGGTAAACTGGCCTCCTTTAACTCATCAGGTTTTAATGGGATCTGACTGATGAAGGGGAACTCTGTATTGATCAGATCGTTGGTTATCAATCAGGCTGAAGACCAAGCAGCTGATAGAAAGCTCTGGGTATGCAGTTACATCTCCTGCAGTGA